TGTGTGTGTGTGTAGATAATAGATTTCGAAAGAGATTTAAAATCTCGCACATAGCATCAATTACAAATATTTATTTATCATTATTATACGATATAAAACATTTACTTCATAATTAAGTAAAACTTATTCCACTGTACTCGATTTTTCGTATCAAAGTATCATGAAAGAGATAGATATTTTACCAAGTGGCGATAAAGCTCTCCCATCAATGGATTTTAAGATTAAATATAATAAAAAATCTATGTGTATATTAGAGTACTCACAAAACTGAATAAAATTGCTTTAATTACTTGTAAATATATTCATTATATTGTAAAAGCTTCTGTAATCATTTAGTAATTATAATCACTAAATAATCAATAAAAGTGAAGTAATAGTAATTATTACAATACATTTTAATAAATAATTTAAATTCATTAGAATTTAAGTATTATTGTCGTTATAAGTAAACTAGATTTATATGCTAACATATACTTGCCCAGCAAGCATTTTTAAATGGAACAGTATTTTATTAATATAACATTAAACAATCTTCTCTATTAAACAATTTTTAATATCCATAAATAAAGAATGTGTATGTATGTATAATACTTTTACGTACGAGTATTACTTTTATATTCAAACATAAATGACACAAAATAATCATTAAAATAGATTATATTTATTAAATTCGAATAATCGTAAAAATTGGATTTAAGTTATAATTTTATCTAAAATAATATTATATGTAAAATAGTGATTATAAAATTACTTAATATCTCACTATATTACGTAATCCAATATCTTTCTATTCATATTCAAATCCAACAAACTGCGCCCTACAAAATTTATTTAAAAAGTAAGTGCAGATTATAATTAAAAAAACTTGAAAAAATATTAACTAAAAATTAATTCTGATTATTACTCTGAGCAATTACTATTTATTCCCCTATTCATTTTCAATAAAGAACTAAAACATAAAATTTAAAAAAAGTATAATTTTTTAATAAAATGCATTCTTTGTTTTTATAACTGATTAGCATTTACTTCCAAATGTTGTATTCTTAATATCTATACATTTTATATACATTCTCTACATGATATATCAGTAATCAAGAAAGCAAGAAAAGAATAAACAGAAATATTTGAATTTATATTACAATAATTTTTTAACAACTACAAGTAGTTTGATACATTTTATGCTGTTCTTACAATATACATACTATATATCCTATATATGTTTCTAACTTTTTCGCACACAGCTTGTAACCAGATAGAACGGATTAATCTGAATAAAAAAATCCTCACCATTTTGCAATTTTTGCAATTTTTTTTTAGTTACCCAAGCAAAATGTCTAAAATCTACACAACTCTATAATAACTTTAAAATATCTTTGAAATATTTTTAAGAGTTCTTTTAGAAATATCTTTAAGATATTTCATAAAGAACTCTGTGAAAGACTTTAAAATTGTCTTATGCGTCTATTTTATCTGCTCATTTGACAATCTTTAGAAAATATCTCATTAAATATTGCAAAAACTGCAAAATGATAGAGTGAGTTTTCAAGCTTAATCCGCTCTAGCTTCCCACAAGTGGTGTGCCAAAACATTTGAGACACTCTGTATATGTTCCGCCCAGAATCCGCCTAGAATCTAATAATGTTCAGTAGCAGATTATTAAAATTTATTAATAAACTCTAAGAAATTATTTTCACAATATTAAATAATTATTTATAAAAATATGTTTCAAAACAACAGTAAAATAATTCAAATAATAAAATAACTTTAAAATATGCTTAGCATAGGACATTACACATCATTTATTTTTATGAATATTAAAAAATGCTCCAGATACATTCCTTTTTAAATTCATTTTTATTTGTTTTTTTTAAATAAAATTGAATTTAAATAAAAAAATTTTTTTTATTAAAAAATAAGAAATTTTGGCCACACATTCTCTGGCATAATTAACTATTTCACAAAGTTGTTATATTTAATAATCTCAGGATAAGCAGCTTGTAATATTATACATGGACTAATGTAGACGGTTCAACTATCAAATTACAATGAAATTATCACTTATGAAAGTGATGAAGAATATTTTGATAACAGAAAATATCTATAACCAATAATACATTCGTCATAATTTTATTTAAAATCTGAGTACTTTATTGCCACATGGTAATACTATCAGTACAGTTTATTTATATATACCAGAAGACATTGCAACAATATAATAATCTCTGAAAAACATTGATATAGAGTAGTTGTGCAGAGAATTTCTTACAAAATTTATGACAGTCAAATAATTATCAGAAATGTGGCACTTCGCGTAATGTCGTACAAGGTCAGCTATGTTATAAAATCATATTTATTAATATTATCTACATAATAAATGAAATAATTAACAACATTAAAAATATATCTAAAATTCTTTTCTGGAGAAAGATTTTAAATGCATGTATAGATTGATTAAACTTAAAAAGGAACGCGATTTGATCTAAACGATTCGCGGATATAACGCGAAACTCTATATGACATAAAGAAAGAGGCACATGTATATACTATATATTAAAAGTTAGGAAATTTAAAGGAATATCTGTACATACTTATATATTTCACAAAATTAAGACTAAAAACATATAATCCAGATTTCTTCAATATCATCACGCTCAATATCCATTTTGAGGCACCCCGCATAGTGTCTTGCGTCTTGTATTATGTTTACAAAGATACATTCATAAACACAATGGATGAGCAAGAAATATTGAAGTTGAACGCAATGTAATCGTTCCTTCCCAAATGAAATAGTACTATTCAGCACAAGGCATACACTCACGCTTCTTATTATTTTATAATATTTAGATACGAATATTCAGCTATCAAATATGTATTAAATAATAATAACGAAAATGAATCATTTAAAATTTTCTATAGTTGAATATGGATTTGGTCTGAATCATGTAACAAGAATTATATCTATTTGACATAATAATTAGCAACTAAAAGATATGCAAAATCATTAAGTTCATTATTCACATTAGTATAAGAATAATAGTATTGTATAATACATAATAGAATTTAATAGTAGAAAACTATTCCGCGTCCATGAAATTTAAGAGTTAGTAACTGTTACTTGGTGAATGCAGCAAATACAGCCCAAAGTACCGGATTCGCGTTACGTTTAGCAGATTCCGCTTCAAAATCGAGGTCTAATAATGTCCGTACTCTTCGCATCGCTACTTCATAATCGTCGTCCGACAATGGCGCAAATGCATTTTCTAATACGTCAGCTGCATGAGCTAAAATAACTAATGCCAATGTTCGTCTATCCATACGAGCGGCATCATTTACCCAACGACCTAATACAGCTTCTTGGATCTGGAAGACAGAAAGTAACATATGCTATTGTTCTATTCATGGATTATATAACTCAGTTTAACATTATATATTCTTTTATGTAAAATGTAGAACGCATTTTTTATCCTTGCCCATTATCTGTTTTCATTTTTATACGTTTATACTTAGATATTTTTTTTATATACTCTTTACTTTTTATTCTAAGAACAATGTAAGCTTTTAAGCACAATTAATAAGAAATGTAGAAATAACTAACGCTATAGATTTAAT